ATTACATGATACCAGAAGTGAACTGAAGACTTTTTAAATAGAGATTTTAGAAAAGTACTTACTTTAAAAAGAAAAAGTAAATGGAACACTTTTTGCCAAAGCCAAACGAATTGGACTTCGATGAATCCAATATAGCTGTTACATGGAAAAAATAGAAACAAAATATGCAGTTGTATCTAAAAGCAGCAATAAAAAATAAATCTGAGGAAGAAAATTACATGACATTTTTATTTGTGATCAGTGAAAAAGGAAGAGAAATATTCAATACATGGATTTGGAACAAAACAGAAAATGACGACAGTGAAATCAATGACATCACAGTAGAAGAACTTTTTGAAAGATTCGAAGAATACTGTTTACCAGAAAGAAATCTGATTTTGGAACGAAGAAATTTTTCCTTACGAAAACAAGACGTCAATGAATCATTTGATTTCTTTGTAACTGATTAAAAAAGTCTGCCTCAAACATGCGAGTTTGAAAACATTCAAGATGGTCTGATATTATACAAAATAGTTGACAGAATCAAATCAAACAAAGTCAAAAATAATCTACTTAGAAAAGGAGCGGATTTAACTTTAACTAAAGCGATTGACATATGCAGAGCTGAAGAAGTTGCAAATGCAAAAATGAAACAAATTACATATGAAAAAGATATTGACGTGGTAAAGAAATTCATAAAACCAAGACAAGCAAATACGTCAATCCAACAAATACCAAAATGGAGAAAATGCTTGAATACTGAAAATGAGTCAAAAGGCAAAGTCCGGGTTGAACCAAACAAACAAAACTAGAAACAAATCAATAATGGCTCAAATAAGAAACAACAACAAAGACAGTGCAAGAAATGCAATAGAAAACATAAACCAAGAAACTATCCTGCATTCAGTCAAACGTGCCTTGAATGAAATAAAATAAATCATTGGGCAACTTGCTGCAACTCAAAAAACATACATGAAAATTGCGCTGTAGAATACCATGTGGAATCTGTATCATCTGGTGAAATGAATGGTAAAAATGAAGCTTTGATAATCTTTAAAATTAATAATAAATTGGTATGTGTAAAAATTGACACTGGAGCTGAAATTGATGTTATGCCAAAAAGTGTCTCTGACCAACTAACATCACGTGATAATCTCACTTATACAAATGTTAAACTACGTGGTTATGGAGGAAATCATATTCCAGTGCTTAGGACATCAAATATGATGTGTTACTACAAAAGTCGTAAAAATTTGGTTAAATTTTATGTAGTTGAAACAACAAGCAAACTCGTTCTTAGCTTACAAACTTCACCAGACTAAAAAGCCATCAAACTACTAAGTGAAGTAAAAACTGTAAACACGAACGAAGCTAATAAAATTATTGAAAAAATAAACGTAATCAAACTTTACAAAATAAATATTATGACAAAAAGGCAAAAACATTGGAAAACGTAAGTGATGGAGCCTGTGTTCATATAAATGATGGAAATAAATGGCAACCAGGAAAAATTGTTGAGAGCAAACAGCAACAAATTTTAATGTAAAAACCTTAAATGGAAATATTGTTATAAGAAAAAGGAAGACATCTACTAAAAACAAAAGAAGAAGTAGATTGGGATGTAAATTTATCCAACAATGAAAGCGATATGAATGAATCAAAAGCGATATTTATGGGTAAAAGAAAATTGCTGAATAACACAATTACTGATCTAAATACAAATCAAAATGAATTACGACATAATTGTCGTGACCACGACATTATTGTCACGCGATCAGGATGAATTTCGAGGAAGCCGACACGTTATATTGATTATGAAATGCATTTTTAAAAGAAGAAAGGTGTAATGATTGTTGCGCAAAACAATTCAGAATAGCAATTAGCGATTGCAAAACAAGCAATTCCGTTTTGCGAGTTGCACAAAAACTCATATAGCGAAAATATTCCCTTGAGAGAACTCCGCACGAGGAATTCTCGCTTAAAAGCCTGTGCACTGAATTCAAATACAGTTAAAGTTTTGACGCGAAACTATACAGGGTTTTATATTTAAACTAGTTGTGATAATTTAATATGAAAATATTGAAATAAATATTAAATAAAAACTATAGTCGAATTCTTTTCATAATAAATATAAAGACAAATCATTACAGAGTAGTTCTCCATATATTTAGATGAAGAAATGTCTTTTTTAGGTGTTACTCCCAAACCACCAAGAATGCTGAATGTGAGTTTTCTAACTCCTGTTAGGAAAACTGACCAAATCCCCTTCCTGTGATGTCGATAAAATGCTCAATATGTGTGAGTATTACATGAAGTTTAGGGGTTTCAGACACTTCAAACTCTTCCTGTAAAGACTTAAAAGACATCCTTAGGTTCTTATAATTAGGATCTACAGACACACCAAATGTAGGGTCAATGACCTTTGAAAGGTCATGCATGTAATCCAAACAACCAGACAGCCCCCATAAGAAGTATTTTCTACAAACTATCAAGTAGTCTTAAAACCTTAAACCACTTATTACCTTTAAGTGTGTCATCATGGTCTAGTTTAAAGAGAATAGCATGCCCTACTAACCAATTCTGAAGTCCTGACGAAATGTTTGTAGCTCCTTAAGGAAATGATTTAGGGACAACATAACATAAAGAGCTGGTGGTGGACTCTTAAAGATCACTAAGGCTGTCATCAGAATCATCCTCATAAAATTAAAGCCATCTATAAGAATGGCTGTTTTTTACAATTTAATATATAATATAAATATTTATCAAATAGTTTAAAATAATGAATATGAAGTCTCAAAAAACAAATAACGACCACAATTGTTATGATTACCTAAGATAGGCTAGTTTTGTTTACAAACTCCAAGATATTGGAACAGAAGATAAAGTGTTGGACTATTTTCTTCCCATTAGAGTCTTGAAATTCCTGAGAAAATAATTTTCCAAAGATACCTTTCTGATCTCTCATAGCCTCCTCTATAGGAGGAACAATACATTTTCAAACCCATTTAAGTCTCGAATTTTTCAGAACTGAAAATTCTTGATGATCAGTTAGCCAATCCTGTTTTATTGTAGAGACATTCTCTGCAGTCAGAAATCCCTCAACTATTGTTTCGTTGTTCTCTTCCGGTAATAGCATCAAAGATTTTCCACTAATAGGGGACGTAATGGAGATGACTAAATTGCCTAAATCTTTCTTTGTTTTTATAGTTTTATAACTGATCTGTTCAGCCAGTTTAGGATCAATTAGGTTTGTAATGTTAACAAACTTTTCCAATCTTAGTTTACACTTATCTTTCGAGTGGTTTGATCCCCTGTAAATACTGGCAAAGCAGTGTGAGCAGATCTGTGTGAGAAACAATCTTGAATTATTAGATTTATTTCTCTGTTTTTACTGAAGACCATTCAAGCTAGCAATTTTATAAATTTGACACTAAGATTTTTCTATAGACCTGATAAAAACAGATAAATGTTAAATACATTTAACTTTTCAAAAATAAACTACTTTATAATTTGTTTTTTGTAGAAAAACTAAACATTTGTCAAAAGTAAATAGAGGAGAAGATTTGAGATGATTTATTTTATAAATATATGTTAACTTATAGACTATACTATACCCAGAGTGTTTTTTTGATTTTATTTGTAATTTTATTGCACAAAATCTTTTAATATTTAAATTTATTTTTACTACTCATTTTACCAGTTTATTTTTAACTTTACTTTTACATGCAGATGTAACATTACATTAAAAATAATACTCCAACCCAAAATAAACAATAACTAATCCTCTACCTGTACATTTCTAATCTTCAATCTACTAATTATACAACCAATAATTATACTCCTAAATCCAAACTGCATTAAATCATAAAGTTATAAAAAGGCCACTACATTATGACGTGTTTTTTACAGAAATCCTTAAAAAGTAATAATTTTCTAAAGTTTTTCTATAACAGGTAAGTAAATAATAAAAAACAATAATTAAAATTTTATAAATGTTTTGTTATAGTTTTCAGCTGTAGATCATAGTTCTCTGCTATTGATAGGCTGTAGAATATCCATTTTTAATTTGTTTATGTCCAATCTGCAGTCAATACAAAACCCAAATGGAAACCTTGGATCTTGCAGTGAATATTTGACATCAAATGAGCCTTCAGTTCAACCTCTTGTGTATTGGTTAACTTATCTGTATGCCTTTTTTCCCCCTTGTGCAAAAGCTATTCGCCCAAACTTGTGCACGGTTTTCATCGTGTGATTTTGGAGCATTGTAATTAGCTTACAAATACTGTTTGATTTTTTAGTTATATTTACTAACCTAATTTTATTTTATATATTTAATTATTTAGATGCTGTAATTAAAAATATATATTTTTAAAATCAAGTTATTAAATAATAGCTCTTTTTTTACCATTTAGAGATTAAAATGCTTTGTTATTGGAACTCGGGCCTTTGACAATAAATTAAAGGAAGTGAATTTCTAAAAATATATAATAAATAGAAAAACAAAATAAAATTTCAAGACTCCAGACAAGAAAAATAGCTATCATCCTGTTTTTATGGTTGTTGTTTTTTTTTTTTGGCGGGAGGGGGGTGTTAAAAGAGTTTTAAATTATGACAAAATTGTTTATATAAATTTTTTATTTAACTTTAATTTTAATTACTATTATTAAAAATCAAATTAATAAATGTGGTTTCAGTTATTTACTCACTAGAAATTTTATGTTAAAAAATTTTAGTACTTTACTTTTACATTATTCTTTGATCCTATTGTTTTTAAAAGGCTTAAAAACTATTGTTTTTAAAAGGCTTCAAACTTTAAAAAAAAAAAAGGTTTGTTAACATTGTTGACTTTTTTAACTTTAAATAAATTTCAAATAAAATTAATTATTTTATGTTTATATAAAGTTAGTACATTATAGCTGTTTTATGTTTATATAAAGTTATAGTAATAATGACACTCATTGTCATGAGTGTGAACAAAATCCTAATGAGAGCTATACTAAACATTGTTTTATTTTATTTAGATTTGTCAAGAGTGTCTGCTAAACTCAAAAAATTTTATGTTGAATATTATGGGAAAATTAGTGAACTTCGACCATTATTAAAAGCACCTGCAAATGTTGATCTAATGGATAAATTTGTTGATCTATGTATTGTTGATGCACATAATGCTCAAATGGATGTTGCTTGTAGTGTTGAACGAAAGAAATTTCTTGAAAAGCAAACCAGTTATACACCAATACCATATAGTGAACTATTTAAGAAAGAAAAATCTGTAATATTAGTATCTGGAATTGCTGGTATTGGGAAAACATGGTTGCTTAGAAAATGTTTGCTTGATTGGTCAAATGATTTAATTTGGAAAAATGTTGAACTTGTTTTTTATTTGGAATGCAGGAGGATTAATCAATATGAAAATATTTCTAGTATTTATGATTTACTAAGCGTTTTCTACAAAGATATTATAAGTAACTTTAATATTAGTATTGACGCTGCACTGTTTATAATTGATGGATTAGATGAGTTTAAATATTTCAATGAGTTATCAAATCCAAGATTAAAGTTTAGCCATCCAATTGTTAATGTTTTAGCAGAAACTCAAAACTATAAACATTTAATTGCTGGTAGAGTTTATGCAATAGATCAATACCAAAGTATATATACAGATCAGAGTGACAAGTTAACCATTCAAATAATGGGGTTTAATGAAACTGGAATAATGAATTATGTAGAAAATCATGTTGCAGAAGAAATTAAAGAAATTGTAAAAGCAACTTTAAAGGAATCTCCAATTGCAAAAGCCATGGCATCTGTTCCTTTTTATTTATCTTCTATGTGTAAAATTATCACTGATTCAAAAGAAATAAGTACAAGATCTTTCTTAACAATGACAGATTTGTATGCAAACATTTTTTTATACTTTTTACAAAAACACATTGTTAAAAACAATGAAATGATTTATCAGATAATAGAAAATGATTCTAATAAAACTATTATTTTAAATATTTGTAAAATTGCATATAAATTGTTTGTTGTAAATAAAGTAATTTTTTCCAAAGAAGAACTTCAAACTTTTATTGGTGACTTTGATAAAAATGAAAATTTTTATGGATTTATTGAAAGGATTGAAACAGATCTGGGTTGTTTTTATCAATTTGCTCATTTGACAATAATGGAGTTTTGTGCATCTGTATATGCATATAATTGTTTAAGTAGTGAAGAAATTATGACTAATGATAAGCTTAATAGTTGTTTATCAATGATTTGTGGATTATCTAATACTAGTCAAAATAGTTTAATAAAGTTTCTTGTTAACCCGAATCCTTCAAAAAATCCTTCTAATCCTTCCTATGAAAAATCTATTCAATCTATTCAATTTATAAAGAATCTGTTCAAGAATTCTTCAAAAAAGTCTGATGAAAAATCTATCCTTCTGCATTCTATTTTGGGTAAGTTTAAAATCTTTGTAGCATTAATGTGAGTTATTTTCGATAACCATGCCGATGTTCAATAAAGTATAAAATATATAGTTATTTTTACTTTATTTTTAATTAAATAAGGAATTTTTCTAAATTAGTTAAACCTTTTTTAATAAACATTTATAAAGATTTGTTTATTTAAATTTGAAAGACTTTTTTTTAATTTTATAATTTTATCATTTGACTTTATTTATAAAAAAACAAACAAATGGTTTTTATCTTTTGTTTTCTAAATGATATTTGTATTTTTATATTTGGTATGTTTAACAATGTTTGGCAAGTTTTTTAAAGAAATTTAAATATTTCTTATTAATTTCTAATGTATTAAATTTTTTATAATTTTATAATATTTTGTAATTTAATATTAATGTGTTTATGTTTATGATATTATAATGCAAATATAATATATTTATTAATAATAAGAAAATGTGTTCAATTTTTTATTTAATTATAGTTTGATATTATTATATGTATATAGAAAAAGAATGATATTATATGTATTATATCACAATTTTGATTACTATTTATTTATTTATTGTTATATTATACATTTAATTTTTCTTTAGATCGTCTAAGTAAAAGTATTAGAAGTTGTTCTTCTGATTTTAATTTATTCTACGAATGTTTTTACGAAAGTCAATCTTCATTCACTGATAAAATAAAATCAATTGTTGATGAACGAAATGAACAAAGAATTGGATTGACTATTTTTTTAGGTGGTTGGGAGATTTCGATTCACGATGGAAAAACTTCTTACGCAACTTCTTGCGATAATTATTTCGTAAATTGTTACATAAAATCTGGAAGAAAGTTAAGATCGTTACATGTTCATAAAAGTATTTTAAATGATGAAGAAAAAAATCTTTTAATTCGATGTGCATCTAATGTTCGCGGTGTCAGCTTTTTTTGCCCAATTAATTTTGAAGGATGGAAACCGAAAGATAAGATTGAAATGTTGCGGATAAGCATCTCACGTTATTTAATAACAAAAAAAGATTTTGAAGTAAACTATCTTCCTTGGATTAATCTTTGTGAAGAATTAGATCTTCAACTTCACGACGACATTGATTTCATTAAAGACATTTGTGAATGTATTCGTTGTTCGAACATCAAGAAGTTTGTGATCTTGTACCGTGAAAATTATTTTTACAACCTCGATGAATTATTGCAACATTTCTTTATTATATTCAACCTTCGTTATTATACATGATGTTTACGATAAAGTCAGCAGTTTTCAGGTTTATTGAAACTTGAAGAAATTTAATTTTATATTAAAAAAATTAAATTATAATCTGCACATCATCACATTTATAATAATCTCAATTATTTTTGAAATTTAAAGTATTCGCCATTTTTTTTAAGATTTTCAATGACAACGAAACAAAAAAAATTCGAAACTTTTTTTTGGATTCGAATATTTTTTTTGGAGTTAATTTGTTCGAAAGTTAACTTTTCATATAACTTTTGCTTAATAATAAATCTGACATTAAGATTTATTTCGAATAAAATTTTTCATATTTTAATTATTTGAAAAAAAGTTTTACTAAAAAAAAAAATTGCTTGTATTTTACTGCTAAAAGTCATGTGGGCAGAACACATAGGTTTTTTTAGAAATGTAAAAATGCCAGAGCAATAAATAAGTTTAGGACAATTGTCAATTTCGCCTAAAGATAATAAACTTAATAATAATTTTAAGATTGATATATTTGATAATAACTTTAAGTAATAAATTAAGTTTATAAAAATGTCAGTACTTTTGCACTAATATTGATGCGGATATTCAAACTTTTTTTACTGATAGTTCCGCTGGCTTTAAAATTACTTATCTTGCTAAGACTAATTTAAATATTAAAGCCAGAAAAATCGGCAGTATAAGAAATGAGCAAATCCGCATTAATTTTACTGCAGGAATACTGTCATTTTCAATTACATAAAATTTTTAAAGTCTAGTTAGACATAAGCTTTTAAAAGATATTTTAATTTAAAAAATATCTAGACGATATTTCGTCTGACTTTTTTTCCCGTGAAGTTTGGGATGTCAGACGAGAAAACTTTAGTTTTTGCGCTAATGCAATTTATCATATACCTGAACAATATGTTCCTGCGGCTTTTCTTTGATCTTAATGTAATATCTCAAAGTTTCAGGGGGTTTTATTTTAAAAATGCGGCAAAATTTAGTTAATTAAATTATCAGTGCTATTTAGAAGCAATATAAAAAATGAAAAGAATAATTTAGAGTATGCTTTCATAATAGTTTGTGACTTATTTTGTGTTAAATCTTCGAAGGATTACCAAAAAGAAGCTTTAATAGCTCTCAGCAATAGCAGAGATTTTTTTGTTTGCAAACCAAAAGGCAGTAAAATATCTATTGTGTTCCGATGTTTACCCTTTTTTACCTTCATTTTAAACTTATTAAAAAAAGGACAAGCACCTGATAGTATTCGATATGAACATGTACTTAAGTTGTGCAATAATTAAATTTTAATTGTTTTTCCTCGTTTGAGTTATTGAAAGATCAAGAAAACATTTTAAGTGAAAACTTTTTACGACAAAGGAAATAAAGTAGCTTTTATAAAGCATAATCAACAAAGAAAAAAGTATAGAAGATGATCAAACAGAGGTAATAATTATCATTATTTTACATTATTTTAGTTAACAAATAAAATTTTTCATTTTTTTAAAAAAAGGTCTAGTTTTTGCTGGGTAATTACCCTGAGAAATTATACATTTTAATTACCCTAAAAAATTATACATTTTTTTCTAAAATGTTGTTCATAAACTTTGGAATTTTTATTTCAATTTTCTGTAGAAAACATGTAAAATATTTTTTAGTGAATGCAAAATAATTAATCATTTATTGAGAAATTTTTAATGCTAAATGCATTTAGATAATTACGATAAATCATTATTATGATATTTCATTATTATATTATGATACTTCATTATTATATTTCATTATGATATTTATGATATTTCAATGTTTCATTATTAATTCTAAATGCGTTAAGCATTTATTAGGAAATATTATATTATTCTGATATTGAATTTCAACATGCCTCTTATAAATAAAATTTTGAATTATGAAGCGTTGTTTATTATTTAAAAGTATATACTATTTTTTTTAGATAAATTACAATGAAACAAATATAATATTTTGTTCACCTCAAGCCATTGTAACAACTTATTGATCAATTGTCAATGACTCTGCTTTTAATCAGAAACTTATTTCAATTGCAGCTGATGAAAGCCATTGTGTGAAAAAGTGGTAAGTGATTTTGTTATATAAATAAATTTGCTTGTTTAGTAAACATTAAAATTTATAACCTTAATGTCAGACCTTCTTTTTATATATAAAATTATTTTAAAATTAAAAAATTTTGCTCATTGAAAGAAAATATGCATTACCTATAGCATTATATAAGCAAAATCTTGTGATTTACATGATTCTATTTATACTTATATCTGTAATTTTTATAGGGGAAGTTCAAGTACATAATCAGATGTATTTCGGTCTCATGAAAATAGACTCAAAATTGTGATCACTAAAAGTTGTTGTCTCTAAAAGGATTCCGGAATTGGTATTGACAGCAACTGCAATTAAACAAAAATTGTAAACGATATTTTTCATTCACTTGACTAGATCATTTATTTACTAGTCGAGAAGGAAACATCGTAATAGCTGAGAAGGCGGAGCCAGTATTTGAACCTCCAATCCTGCTGCTGCAGCCAATAATTATCCTGAATTTATAACAGTGCTTTAACCAACTAAGCTACCATTATTGATAATCTTTGTATGCATAATTTAGTTATATATCATCTACACCAGAAAGAATAAATATCAAATACCAGATCCAGAGAAATTTTTCTACCCAGTTATTCAAGATATTGTTTTGAATATGTATTCAGCTAAAAGAACTTTAGTCTTTTCTACAACTATGACTGATGCAAGATCAATTTATTGGTACTTTCGCAAAAAACCATGGTCAAAAGATGTAAAATATAAAAGAAAAAAATATATATATATATATTTATATATATATATATATATATATATATATATATATATATATATATATATATATATATATATATATATATATATATATATATATATATATATATATATATATATATATATATATATATATATATATATATATATATATATATATATATATATATATATATATATATATATATATATATATATATATATATATATATATATACATAGATAGATGTATAAATAAGGTTAAAGTACATTGTATAATTGAGATTCTTACATTTAATATAGTTTTACTAAGTATCATAAAAAATAGTTTTCAATCAAGTTCAAAACTTTCTTAAGAATAAAACATGTTCAGTTTCAAGGAAAAAGATTCTGGCTGTCAAAATAGAAAAAATGAGGCAAATAGGACAGCAAATGAGCAAAAAAATAAACGTACTCGAAGATTGCGGTATACAAGGTAAAAAAAATATGACGGGGATATATCCCCGTCATATTGTAGGCCTTTGTATATTTGTAGGTCATAACTGTAGGCCTATAGGCCTACAGTTTCCAGATTGATATCTATAAATTCCTCTCAGTCACGACAAGCTTTTGGAATAGTAAGTTTATTAGTCTAAACATAACCTTCTTTTTTATATATTTTTTCTATTATACTATTATTATATAAATCAAGACATTTTTGAATATTTTACCTTATTTTCTATAGAATAGCTTTGAAAACGAGTCTTATAAAATTTTGTTGAACTCAGGAGAACCACTTCCTCTTTCGAGTGGCACGTTGGCAATATCGGCAACAAGAGTTGAAAATGAAAACAATATTTTGGTAAAATTTGCTTCGCAAAGATTCTTTAATTATTTTTGTGAATTTGTGAAAATTATATACTTATTAAAATCTTTATTTAAATTGTTAGCATAAAGATAAGTTGGGTGAGGCAATAACTACAAACGATCCTGCTTTGTGGGCTGAAAATATGTCCATAGTAGAACGCGATGCAGTTGTTCTTCAGGGACCTCCTAAAAATCTTTTATCTTTTCCGAGAGACTCAAACAAGGTTAAGGTTCCTGAATCAGTTTTCCACGAAATATCTCGTAATGGGGAGAAAATAAACAGAGATTGGCTTGTTTGGAGTGCAACTTCAAAATCATTTCTTTGCTTTCCGTGCTCACTTTTCGGAAGCAAACAAGCCTGCGGGGCTGGTAATAATTCACATCTTCTACGTTGGAATGGTGGCATCAATGGAAGCTGGAGAAAGTTAGCTGAAAAAGAAAAAGGCCACCAAAACAATCCTCACCATCTAGACAATTACATTAAGTGGAAAACAGCGCTGGAAAGCTTGGGAAATCAATGTGGGATTGATTCAAGTTTAAAAAAATTGATAAGAAATGAGTACTCAACAATACAGCATTAGTCGAACTCATATGCGGGAGTCTGAGTCTAGTCAAAACCGATGCGGGAAAATATTCGTAAGAGCTTTTTTGAATCGGAAATCATTGTGGGATTGATTCAAGTTTAAAAAAATTGATAAGAAATGAGGCAGCCAGGTGGCGTGAAATTTTAAAGTGCATTTTAGATGTAATTCTCTTCTTAGCATCACGCAACCTTAGCTTCAGAGGTATATTTGTGAACATTAATTATTATATTTATTTTTACGTTATAATTTATTTTTACTATAATTAAACAGAAAGTCATGATTTATGTGTGTAATTAAAATCGATACTTTAGGCTCATCGAAAATGATCGGTGATGACGATAACGGCAACTTTCTTGCAACTCTAGAGCTACTTGCAAAGCACAAAAAGACTCTTCAGTTACATCTAGAAGAAGTTTCTCGCTTCCAACAAGAAGGTAAACAAATTATTGCGCATTATTTGGGTTTAAGTTCTCAAAATGAATTTATAAAAGAGTGCGGAAGAATCGTCTACGGCGCCATCATTAAAGAGGCGCATATGGCAATTTACTATTCTATTCTTGTCGACGGAACGCCTAACGTCTCTCAAACTGAGAAAATTGCATTTGTTATCCGCTTTGTCTACTACGGTATTGATAAAAAATGGGTAGTTAAGGAGAGCTTTCTTGGGGTCAAAAGTCTCGATAAAAAGAAAGATGTGGATATTGCTAGGCTAATTATAGATGTCTTAGATCAAAATGACATTGATCTGAAAAACTGTCAAGGTCAGAGATATGATAACGGTGCTAATATGTCTGGTGTGTACAAAGGAATACAAGCGATCATTCTTCAGAGAAATCCTCAAGCTTCCTACATGCTATGCAGCACTCATAACCTTAATTTAGCTGGTGTTCATTCCCTTGAATCTTCTGTAGAAATGAAGAACTATTTCGGTCGTATTCAATTACTCTACAATCTTTTTAGTGGAAGCACTATACGATAGAAAATCTTGACCGAGACGACTGGTTTGTGTCTACATCAAACTTCACAAACCCGATGGAGTGCACGCATTGAGGCTGTGAAGCCGTTGGTTAAGCGAGCCAGAGAAATTCTTTTATCTTTGCAGAAACTTCGTGATCTTGATTTAACTGCTAATCTATTGATTGACGTAAAATCTTTTGAGAAATGGATTCAGTCATTCGAGTTTATTATCATGACAACCTTCTGGTTCAAAGCGCTGCTTGCAATAAACTATGTCAGCGTGTCATTTTAATCAGAAAACATTACTTTAGATGATGAGATGAAACTTATGAAGATTTTTATTGAGGATCTTACTAGACTTAGATCATTTTGGCCCGAATTAATTAATGAAGCACATTTAGTTGCCTCCGGTCTAGCTAGTTATAAGTTTCAATCAAAACTAGTTCAAAAAAGGACAAGAAAGAGGAAAACTTTTTACAAAGAAGCAAGGAACGAAGTTCATTTCTTAGAAAACGATGAAAAGCAGTTTGAGGTGAATGTATTCAACACCGCTCTCGATACTTTAATTCAACAAATAAACGACTTTCAAAGTGCAGAAGAGACAACTAACAGTTTTTCTTTTCTATGGCTCTCAGAATCTAATAGTAGGTCAAGTGAGGAAAAAAAAATTGAACAACCTAGCCTGGAGGAAAAATGTAAAACTTTGGGGCAAATGTACGTGAACGATGTAGATGAAGACAAACTTATTTTAAAGGTCCGTCATCTGGATACTCTGGAGCATGCCAATCTTTTCGGTCCAAAAGAATATCTCACTTCAATGAAACTATTAAATAGAATCTATCAAAAAGGTCTAGAGTCTATCTTCGAATGAACATGCATTTTATTACGTATTTTTAACACAATTCCCATTTCCATCGCCGAAGGAGAGCGGTCTTTCAGCAAGCTTGGACTAGTCAAGACAACACTAAGATCTACAATGAGTCAAAACCAGCTTAACAATCTCTTAGTTATATCTATTGAGCACGATCTAGCAAAAAGTCATTGCTACGACTAGGTCATTGAAAATTTTGCTTTAAATAAAGCACGGAGAGTCAAATTCTTATAAAGCATTTAAAATATCTATTACATTTAAAATTTACAGTTGCTCGCAATATAATAAAGTTCATATGTCAACTTGTGCTTCTTTCTTTACCTTTTTTCAAATTTATTTAAAAAATATTTAGAAGCCTTCTCGACTGTAATTACCTTCTCGGCCTCTTAAAGTGAGTTTTTAAAAGTAAAACAAAAAACAAACTTAGCATTTGGACAGCACCTAAATTTTTTTTGATTAGGTCAATATGACAGGGTGCTAAATAAATTTTGACCCCAGGCGTCATAAAGGGACGCGGCGGGCCTGAATATATATATATATATATATATATATATATATATATATATATATATATATATATATATATATATATATATATATATATATATATATACATATAAAATAATAATAATTTCTCTGTTTATATTTACAACTTATTGAAAAAAAATTGGATTTTTTATCAATAAATTTTAAATATAAACAGATTACATTAAAAACATTTTTTCAATAAATTTTAAATATAAACTCTGTTTATATTTAATATTTATTGAAAAAATGTTTTTAATGTAATCGTTTTCTCCTTAATTATCCTTACTTTTTTTTTCAAAAAAATGTCATTCGCGACCAAATCTTCTTAAATATTAGGAAAACATCTCCTTAAATCTCCTTAAAATCCTTAATTTTAGCCTTAGCTTTAATAGTATAAACTCTGTACCATGTTGCAATATAAAAGTAAACCAAAACTTATGAGTATTTAAAAAGCAAAACAAAATGTTTGAATTTAATAAGTTAAATTTGAAGATGATCTGACTGAATTTGACCAGTACTTATGAGTAAGAAAAAAAATAAATGAACTTATTATTATTTTTATAAATCCGCAATCAGAAAAAACATTAATAATATGTCTTTTTTTAGTTTGAAAGTTAAAAATACGGATTAACAAAATATATTAGATGTATCTTAAATTTGTTAAAATGGTCGATAATTTGTTAAAAATGGTATATAATTGTTTTTATTTTAAAGTTTATAACCCCCGTCCTTAAACTTGCTAAGCGTTTACGCTTAGCAAGTTTAATTTTTCGCCATTTTTAATTTTTTTTTAATAACCAAAGTTTTCTCGTCTGACTTCTCAAACTTCACGGGAAAAAATGTCAGACAAATCATCGTCTATTAAATGTCTTGCTTTTTAAAAATATACACGTCTTATTTCTTCTAGCGCGTTTTTTATACGATGTTTAATTTGCACCTATCTATCATTTATTTGTATAAGGAATTTTCATCAGGCTCTCCGTGGCTGGTAAAATTTAACTCAAATAAAGCTCAGCTAACAGTTATCACAACAACAATGAACGGCAATGTACCCGATTAGTCATCTTCGTTTGACCTTTAAGCATTGGCGTAGCAACAAAAAATAGGCCTCCCGCAAAATTTTAAAATACTTCTTTCAAACGCATTTGTAAACATAATTGTAATTATAGTCGGACCCGCTCTTGCAGCAAATTTTTGTATTTAATGAAAGTAGTTTTAAAAAAATCTAATCAACTCTTTACTTAAATAATAAAAATTTTTTAAATTTCTTTATAGAGAGTTCTCCTTATTTAAATTAGGTTGTGATTTTTTTAGACGATATTTTGTCGTATAAGAATGGTCATAAAATAATAACAAATTTTATAAACAAATATTTATACAAAGTTATGGTCCAAAAATAGGTCACTATTATATTTAGATAATCTTAAACCATGAGAGCCATTCGTGTTTTTGTTATATACAAAATTAACAAATAATGCTATAAAAAAAAAAAAATAAACGCCTTATAATATCACAACACAGAGTTATAATATCACAAAACAGTTTTAAATATCACAATACAAAGTTATAAAAGTAGCTTTTATTTTCACTTAGTCGTGAAAACTATATTTATAATTTTTTTGAAAAAGAATATTTATTTAAAAGATATTTATTTCTTCGACATTTTCCAATAAGACATTAGTATGTGTAATGTTATCTTTGTTATAATTAATTGTGAGAAGTGTTTTTGACGTTTATATATATATATATATATATATATATATATATATATATATATATATATATATATATATATATATATATATATATATATATATATATATGCGGCTTTAACTTTGATTTGCGAGACTTATGCTCTAAAGGCGTGCTTATAGAATTTTAATTTAAAGAAAAAGTTATAAATATGTGCTTACAGAATTTTAATTTAAAGAAAAAGTGGTATTATATTATTTAGTAACAACAATGGTCTTGCCTTGTAGAGTTTATTCTTAAATATTTGTATGTTTATACATTGTGAGTTTTATAAGAGATATTTTTTCCAATATAAACCCATAAAAGTTTGGTAATCTGTGCTCTTTTAATAGTTTTGTTTTTTATGTTAACTGTTGGTAGAACTATGGGTAATTTATTGCTGTTGCTGATCAGAGTGAAATAGTGTATTTTTATTTTTTTCTAAATTAAAAAAAATAATTTATTTAGTTTATTTTTTTTTATTTTGTAAAGGTATTTAATTTTTGTAACGGATTTAAATAAGTTTGTATCATTTGCAAGTATTATAGATTTAATGGTGTTTACAAAATTTGGTTGTTCGTTTTTTTAAATTTCAAACAAAAGGTGATCAAGAGCAAAACGTTAGTGTACTTCACATTTGGCTTTTTTTCCTAAAGCCTTTATTTGAATGTATCGATAGGAAGTCTTTGTTAAATTACATTTTTGAAGAAAAATCAAAAAAAAAAAGCAGCAAAGCAAGCTAGAAAACAACGTCAAAGTTTGACGCATATCACTTCAAGAGTTTTGTGCAGAGACAAAGTTCAGCAGTTTGTCAAAAGAATGTTTTAGTAAATTGCAAGCAAAACATTCTGTTTAAGTTTCAGCATTTTAAACCTCTGTTGAAGTTTTTAACAAAACGCAAATAGTCACC